CAGATCCTAATTCTTTCATCTTGTTAAACACATTAAATCAGAATTATTTTTGGATATAAAAGTTAAATAAAAAAAGGTGTAACTTAATAAAACGGTAGAAAGTGGCGACATCTTTTCCTATTTGGCGATATTTCGAGATTAAATTATTTGTCACACTGTTTCAGAGATACTCGTGTAACTATCAACGTTTGTAGCGATTAAACGTTTATTTTCCGTTATTTAGACGGAATAATAAAACCAATAAATGAATAATAGCGTATTCAACTTGATTCTAATATAATAATAACTAGTAGTAATGAGCAAAGCAAGACCAAGACCAAGATTACCCCAGTCTTGATATTGGTCTTGGCACGGCCGTATCTGGGGGGGGGGGCATTGTAGGGCAATGTCCTACCTTAAAAATACCAAACATACATATAAACTTTTTGCATTTGTGGCGACTATAGGATGTAGCATTGCAGTCTGCGAATCTACGTTTTCAACTTTAACTGCAATCAATAGGCCTCAAAGGCTGTCAATGGGTCACGAGAGAATGGCTGGTATGGTATTTCTGGCCTTTGAAAAAAAAAAAAAGAACAAAAACGGTTGATCTGAACGATGTTCTTCGCACTTTTAATAGCATGACGAATCGTAAAATTCAGGTGTTCTAAATATTTTTTATTATTATGTTAATTATTATAATAAGTTTGCAGACACAATATGATCTAAATGGTATTTTTGGTCGTATCTATTTACTCGTACCACCCTACCCAACAATTAATTATTACCTCAAACGTGAATCTCTACATCCAAATCTGGAAGTTCAACCAGCTTGTTCACTTGTTCTTCATCATTGAGGATTTAATAGTTCTGAGGTACAGAAATGATTTGTCTACGAATAGCTATTGAATGTACATCACTGACCTAGAGGTCCGTGATACACATGGTGATTGATTTAGGAGCCCGTGCTTCGAGGGCAGATCAATTATGATCAATTTGTTACTTTCGCTCTACCTGCAACCAATGCTACCCTACCCCAATTTCGACTCTAGCTAGAGCCCTGAGTCTTGGTCTTGCTCAAATACTTCTACTGAAATTGCATATGTCTGCACATAAGCAATTTATAGTTTATTATTATTGTTATTATAGCAGTATTGGCATCTAACAAGGAGGAGTTAGAGATAGCTTTAGATAAAATTGAAGCGGTATTGACAAAACAGTATTGTATGAAAACAAATAACAGTAAAACAAAAATATTAGTATTCCAGGTAAGAAAAAGTAGGGAAAGAGCGAATATAATGACAGAAGACGAAAAATTAGAAAAAGTAACTGATTTTCGGTAACTAGGAAGTCAGGTAACTCAGGATGGAAGGAACAGTAAGAGCAGGGTAGAGTCGCCTTCAATAAAAACAAGTCACTTCTATGCTTCTGTACGAGTGCAAACCATTGACGCTGGGCGCGGTGGGAAAGAAAAGGTTAGAAGCGTTTGAAATGTGGTTGTTTCAGGTGAATGATGAGGATACCGTGGATAGAGAAGGTTAGAAATGAAGAGGTATTGGAAGGAGAACAGGTGACTCTATGGAAGTCAATAAGGAATAGGTGAGATAGGTTGGTAGGGCATCTTCTCAGGCATATAGGACTAGTCAGAGACATATTAAAAGCGGAAACAGGAGTTAAGAGGAGTAGATACCTAGATTACATTACTGTTCACAAATAGTTACGAATGTGGAATGTTCTAGTTTTAAGTAAATACGAAGATTAACTAAAGATGGAAAACAGTGGAGGTATCTGCCCAACCAGTCTTACGACTTATTCCTTATAATGATGATGATTATTGCTATTTATATTATAATTTTATCAAAACTCGCTACAATTCATGTTATAGTTTATTCTCACATGCAAGTCGGCCTTTAATTATTTAAATTAAAATTATTTCTGTCTTCAGTCCATAAGTTATTCATAAATGAAAAAATTTCTCAATAATTGCATTACTGGCAGGTAGTGATGTATTTTATTAACTAACTTTACTAATTCACTCGATTGAAGACCAAGACAACACTCACTTCCTTCGTGATGACTTTTCCTACAGTAACCTTCTCATCCTAAGGAATATACTGAAATGTCTACTTTTTTACGTTACACATGCACTGGTGGTTACTAAATTATTTATAGCGATTCTTTAAGAACGTCTTTAGTATCTCTCTTTTTTTGTTTACATTGGAGAATTTATTTCCGTTTAAGAATCCATCAATTACTCAAAGTGTTCTTCTTTAAGGACCTGCTTTTCAGGATTAGGTTCTGAATTAAACATTGTTCTCCTACGCAGTACTTACGTAAGTCCATTTAGAGTCGAGAGCGTAAGTGCAAAAGCAAAACGAGTTTCCTTGTTTCTTTTCGCAACCTTTTAACAAGATAAAACTGCTCGCAATTCTTATACGTGATTTTCAACTTATTGGGCTACTTTATTTTCAAGATTGATCGACGATCTGAAAGAAAATGAAGCAAAAAGACAAAGAATTGTTGTTATATTACAGCTGGAAATATCTTTTTTTAATAAAAAGCAAAACGGCTTGTGATTTTATCTTGCCATAATAATGATATAATGCTGGGAAAGGTGTATCTTTAACATACATAATTACTCAATAATATAATTAACATGAAAAATACTAAATAATAAGGTAATATAATTCATGAGGTTTTTGTAACAATTTTTTTCATTTTCTACGAAGTTTTGGTCATTTTTTTTTATTTTACGTAACGGCTTCACATATGTTAACAAATTTCTTATAATTTTATAGTTGTTGCTTAAAAGTTTTAGCATTCTGCTTGGAAAGTAAATAACTGACAACTGTTAACGTTATAATTGACCTTGTATTTGTGTTTTTATTCACATTACCTTTAAAATAATGTAAAAAGAACTTTCTCTATTTCTTGTGAAATTACTAGCAGATTATTCATTGAAATTCCAAATATTAAATAATTTGCGAACAAAATTAAAGAAATTGTTTGACAGATTTGTTAAAACATCCTATAGTATATCGTAGAATTTTATTAATTCTCTTAATCGGCATGCTTCATCATGAGTGCAAAAAAATTAATGTTGATTATGTATGAAGAGCAGAGTCAACAGAATCAAAAATAGACACATGGACAATTAAATGCTAATTAAGTGCCCTAATGAGAAATTTAATATTCCTACCATTTCCTTAAAAACTACCGTTCTGATATCTTAAGACTAAGTAAGTAGAACATGAGCAAAAAAATTGTTTAAACAATGAAAATACGAGGGTGGATTGATAAGTTTCCGGCCTGACCAAGAAAAACAAGGTTTTTAAAAATTTTTTTTTTTTATTTCTCAACATAATCCCCCAAGGCTGATACATTTCTCATAGCGGTGTTCCAGTCTATTAATGCCATCTCTATAGACTGATTCGTCAAGCTCCTCAAAATAACCATTTACAGCTTCGATTACTTCTTCATTGTCCGCAAATCTCTTACCGCCAAGCCATTTTTTGAGATTAGGGAACAGAAAATAGTCACTCGGGGCTAGGTCTGGAGAGTAAGGAGGGTGCGGCATCAATTCAAACTTTAGATCGTTGATTTTAGCCGTCGCAACGATTGACGTGTGCGCTGGTGCGTTATCGTGATGAAACAAGATTTTTTTCTTCGCCAGATGAGGTCGTTTAATTTTCACCTCGTGGCTCAAACGTTGCAATAAGTCTGCGTAGTATTGACCAGTGATAGTATTACCCTTTGCAAGGTAATCAATGTATATAATACCTCTTGCATCCCAAAAAACAGTAGCCATAACCTTGTTCGCCGAAAAAATTGTTTTTGCCTTCTTTGGAGTTGGTTCCCCTGGTCCAATCCACTGTTTAGACTGTTCTTTGGTTTCAGGAGTGTAGTGGTGGACCCACGTTTCGTCAACGGTTACGAATCGACGCAAAAATTCGCTTGGATTACGCTTATACAATGACAAATTTGCGGTAGAAATGTTTTTTCGAATCAATTTTTGGTCGACTGTTAGCAAACGCGGCACCCATCTTGCACAGAGCTTTTCCATATGCAAATGTTGGTGCAAAATATGTTGCACACGTTCATATGACATCTTACAGGTCTCAGCTATCTCACGCACTTTCAATCTGCGGTCTCCCAGCACTATTTGATGAATTTTTTCGATCATATCTGGAGTTGTGACCTCAACGGGGCGTCCTGAGCGAGGCCCATCAGAGGTGCTCACACGACCCTTTTTAAACTCGGAAACCCACTGCTTAACGGTTGAATATGACGGGGAGGATGTCCCCAGTGTTGAGTCCATCTCTTTTTTAATTTCCTTCGGCGTTAACCCCTTCAAATAAAAGTATTTGATGACAGCACGATTTTCCTGCTTTTCCATTTTTACGAAAACCACAGAGGCGTCTTGTTCAGCGTGCTGTCAAACCTACACTAGCAAGGAGATCGGGCTGAAACTATAGCTACAAGCTATCCAAGGATGGTACTATAGAATGTCACCTCAAGGTAGGCCTAGTGGCGTCATCTCTTGGTTAGGCCGGAAACTTATCAATCCACCCTCGTAGCTTTTTTTTGGTTACGCAGTAATTAAAACCTTGTTAAATTGGATGTTCTCCTAGTTTGCCAAATAATTTTAAACAGTATGTCAAAAACAATATGGAAATCTATCATTTCTTCAAGAAACCTAAACTTGAATTGTATTTGGATTACAAGCTGAAATAATGAAATTTAATTTTTAATTGTTGATTACTAAATAAACAAGTTCGAAACGGTAAAATGCAGTATTGTGAATAAAAAAGGTTAGAATTTAGTCGCAAATGCAAGGTCGATTGCACAAGTACAAGTTTAGTCGATACTGCAACATTTTAAATAAACGGACTTACATCTTTTACTTACTTTATGTTTTAAATCGACCTATTTTAGCAGCAAATACTTCAATTTCTGCAAAGTAATATTTTTAACGATTTGCTTATGTGTAATAATAAACTCATTGATGTTTTTTTTTTCAGGAATTTACCAAGAGCTATCTGGATAGCTCTGCCCATAGTGACGGGAGTGTATGTCCTTGCAAATGTTGCCTACTTTGTAGTCCTTTCTAAGGAAGAAATACTCAATTCACCTGCTGTGGCAGTAGTAAGTCAATAGAATACAATTACAAGCATCGATATATCGGGTTGTACTAGAAAACGCTTATACGTTTCGAAGGTTGCAATTTACAGAAGATTACACCTTAAAAGGCGTCGGTATTTTACGATTTACGCCATAAATTGGTGAAGGCAACGTGGTATATGATACCTAGCATTTTTATTGCATTTTGTTATGAATAGATTGAAAATAATTTGTATACATTTTTCCTTCACCTAATCTAACGATTAGATGTACTTGAACTAAATTTCAGTTTGGCGAACAAAATACTACCTACAAGGTACTTGAATGAATTAAAAAATATCAAAAAAAAATTATTAAGTCTATATTTCAACTATATGTTATTCAGACATAGGAACAAAGAACGCTTACTCCAAGAAAATTCATGTAAATCCCTTTCTTTAAATAGTAGTAAAGTTTTTTTATATTTGATCTTGCTTTTAATCTTGGTCTTGTGCATTTGGTCTTTATTTTAGTCTTGGTCATGTTCGTTCTGCCTTGGTTTTACTCGTGGTTTTGTTCGTTCGGTTTTTGTTTTGGTCTTACTAGTATAAGGACAGTCTGAATCGCCACTTTACATGCCTCAGACTACGTTTAGGTGCATTTACAACATTATGACATCATTCGAATGAAGCACGTTTTATATTCTATTAACCACTTGTGCCTACAAAACTCAAAATATTTGAAAAGCTTTTACAGGGGTGTTTTCGAATATTGCAAAATATAACAGTGACCTCAGGCACCTGAGGAAACAACAATTAAAGTTAATAGTTCTATTGAACTGATTTCTTTTGGGATTAACTTTACCCACTACAGATAACATCAAAATAATGAGGAAAATTTCGCGAATTTAACCCGGGCTCTGGTTTTACAAACCAGTATTCTGCTACTAAGCTACGAGGAGATCGCAGCAACACGAACGATGCAGAATCGTTAGCGCTGCTTTAGAAGCGATATTGACAAAACACTACTGTATGAAAATAAATAAAAGTAAAACAAAAATACTGATATTCAAGGGAAGAAAGAATAGGGAAAGAACGAATGTAAAGATAGGTATCTAGGAAGTCATATGAGTCAGGACGGAAAGAATAGTATGAATATAAAGCAGAGGATGGCGCAGGATCGAGTAGCCTTTTTTAAAAAAAAGTCACTTCTATGCTCGCGAACGATTAATTTAGAAATTCAAAAAAGATTGTTAAAGACGTATGCGTGGAGTGCGGCCCTGCATGGGTGACAAACATGGACGGTGGGCGTGGCGGAAAAGAAAGGGTTAGAAGTTTTCGAAATGTGGTGTTACCGGCGAACGATGAGGATACCGAGGATAGAGAAGGTTATAAATGAAGAGGTATTAAAAAGAAAATAAGAACAGAGGACTCTATTGAAGTCTATAAGAAATAGGCGAGATAGGTTGGTAAGACACCTTCTCCAGGCATGAAGGTCTAGTCAGAGATATATCAGAAATGGGAGTTAGGAGGGGTAAAGGTAGACTTAGAGTAGATTACTGTTCGCAAATAGTTAAAGATGTTGGTTGTTCTAGTTTTAGAAGGTGCGTGTCCAAGCAGTCTTAGGACTGACGACCTTATGATGATGATTATTATTTTTATCCAGGAACAGATATAGATAGCGATCATAACGTAGTAGTTATGAAGACCAATCTTAAATTAAATATTCTGAAAAAGAGGGTAGGTAGGAAACGTCTTGACTTAGAAAAGCTAAAATGTTAAAAATATATTTCTGAAAGATTTAGTATCAGCTTTAATGTTTTCTTTTTTAGAAAAAACATGTATATTCAATGTTTTATTTACGTATCAAATTTCAAGAAATATTTTGATTTCTTTCAAGAAAGCTGTTGGCCCTCATGCTATTCTGAATTATCTATATTTGATGATTGTACTGCGCATTTATTTAATTTCACGTGTTTGTTCTTAACTAAAGTAACACATTTTGAATTAAAATGAATCATTTTGTTGTAATTTACAATTTTGATATCATATGGAAAGGACTCATTTGTACACAAACGCACACAAACCCACGCAATTGCCCTAGATAGAATAATTTCTAAAATTATTCATAGCCAGTCTGAGACGTTTTTGTAATGAATCCGAAGAATCATTGCAATTTGAAGGTCACAATAAGTTCATACAAATGCTAAATTAAAAGTATAAACTTTTGTGTATGACTTTTCACTACAATCCAGATCATTTTAAATAAAAGATCTTAATTGCGAAAATAGAAAGGGCGACAAATTTAGGGTTCGTCTCGGCTGGTAGAAATTTGCGCTATGCCACTGTATGAAATCTAGATTTGTTGCACATTAAATAACCATTGTATCTATACATCTATATATATATATATCACCATTTATAACTCAAGAACGGCTGAACCGATTTGACTGAATATTGGTGGGGAGGTAGCTTAGAACCCGGAGAAGGACATAGGATACTTTTTATCACGTTCCCATGGAAAAAAAGTGGTATAAGAAAACGCAACTGACATGGAATGACAAAACGCAAATGACCGCAAAACGAAATATTGATAAATCAAATCATCAGTCTAGCCGTTCATTTGTTAAAATGGTATAATAAAACGCAAATGACAGCTAAGCGTAATGTTATCTAGGTTAAGTATGGTGTTTTATTTAGTCAGATTTACCTGAAACTTGGCTTTAATGCCTTTTCATATAAAATTAGTGACATACATACCTATTTCAACATTTTACAAAATTCTACCTCTTTACGATTTATTGAAACTGCTTAAAAAATTTAAAAAAATTCAATCTCTGTTGGGGGGTTAAGTGGTGAAGAGGGGTTGCAATGCTTAAATGGAACATATATTATTTGTGGTCAGATTTACTTGAAACTGCTTAAAAAATTTAAAAAAATTCAATCTCTGTTGGGGGGTTAAGTGGTGAAGAGGGGTTGTAATGCTTAAATGGAACATATATTATTTGTGGTCAGATTTACTTGAAACTTGGTCTTAATGGTCTCTCATTTAATTTCTGAAAGACTTATCTCGACATTTTAAAAAATTCAACCTCCAAAAGGGGGTAGGGGTAAAAAGGTGTTGCAAGTTTTGTTTGGACCATATTTTATTTGTGGTTGAATTTGGTATATATGCTGTTTGATATTATTAATGAAATGAAAAGAGGTTGCAACGTTTCCATGGGGTATATTTTATTTGTACTCGGATTTACTCGAAGGTTGCTCATTGTTGAAATTAAGCAAATACGTGTTTTGGCAATTTTTAAAAATCAACCCTTAAAGATGAAGTGTTGTTGCTACGTTTATATTTGAAATCTAAGACGGCGACATTACATAAAATGAAAACGTTGTAAGGGTAAATTGGGAGTTAAAAGGTTTTATGAAGAAACAATACTAATTTCTGCCAGCAAAACCGCGGGGAAAATGTAGTTTGTAATACATCGCAAAGCAGTGACGCTAAAACAATCAAGTATATTTTTTCAAGTTACCATTGACTTTTAAGGAAAAATGTTTGGGGAATGCTATTTTTAGGCATAACAAAATAATGATATTATTGAAAAAAAAAATATCAAGCACTTCGTTAGTACGTCTTAAGGTCTTTGAATACGCTCCTCGGTTAATGAATCGACGGAGCTTTTTGTTGCGTCTAGTGAGTGTATTATATCTTACGTATCTACAGCAATATGGCTCTATATTTAGAATATTTTCTTTGTGATTTTATTATGCCTTAAAGGACATCTTAGTTCACTACTTGATTTAAACCTTATACCTATAGTAAAAAAATCGTTGAAATGAAAACTACCCGTTATCTCCACTGATAAAACTTACGTAAGTAAAATGTAAAACTTAAAAAAAAAATAAACGTTTGGGTGTTTCATTCCCACCACCTCCTAACGCGGAAGACCCTCTTTAGACTCCTTTTAAGAATTGTGGCAATGGGTGCATGGGGTAATAAAGGTGAGACGGGCGAAATGATGACAGAAGTGAATGAAAGATTATCTGTGGAATATTATTACCCCAGCATTTGCGATCCAAAGAAACGACAAAGAATTTGGACCAAAGCAGACGGACGCGAAATTGAGCTGGTGTCCTTTCGAACGCTGAGCAATGATCTATACCTCTTAGGTCTAGGGTCTAGATCAGAGCCGGGTAAACTCGGCTCTTTTGACTCCCGAGTGTTCCTCAGGTATAGCCAAGAAGCTCCTCATTGCTCCTGCAAGTGCGAGTGAGATGATTCTTCTCTTTTCTTATCCCTTCCATTTCGTAGGTGAGTACCCTCTTCCACAGCCAAACCCAATAGCATCGCGGCCATAGTCCTACATGCTACCCCTGAGCTGCGGATCGATCATTAGAAAATTTTTGTAGGTATTGCTTAAGTTGCGAAAGAGGATTCGCTCGTCTTCGGGATGAAGGGGCTCGATATGGGAGTGAAAGGGAGAAGAAAAAGAGAAAGCAATATGTGTCATTACTGCTTACTCTCTCGTACTCATTGAAGGGTATGGAGTGACCAAAACTAACCTCAGGTAGCAGCTCCTGCGAAGTTAAAGTTTGCCCGGCTCTGGTCTAAATCAGGGGTCGACAAACCGCGGCTCTAGAGCCTCCTGCGGTTTTTTCAAGACACAATTGCGGCTCTTCAAATTTCCCTAAAAAAATAAAAGCTAAAGCAGAGCGGACAGACACGCAGCACACCCGTATACCTAAAACAAGAGACTTACACTTTATGAATGACATTACAATGCATCTAACGAACTAAAGCTAAAGCTTCAAAGATAAGGAAACTTTGCATTTTCATTACTGAAAGAAGTAATTGGTTTTGAAAATAAATTGCTTCTTTTGACAGAAGATATGGGAATGGACACATTATTACACTTCCAAACTCTAAGGTATCATCAAGATGGAAACAGTGCTTCGATTCACACTGATGGTTACTACACAAGAACGATTAAAACAATGAGGGATTTGTTCAGTTAAAAATAAGTAAGCCTACTTTGGCTTTTATTACGAATACTCTCAAAGTAAACAGCAATATACTAAATTTTAGTCCATTTAATATCAATGCTGGTTCATTCAAAATCTAATTAGATTTAAAAAACAAAGATTTGAGTAGCTCGACATTTACGAGTCTTAAGTACTAGCTTAAAAGAGCTGAAAAGGCAGAAATGTCTTTTGATGTCGCAGTATAAGTGGACTACTCTAAAAGAGATGCTTAAGCCTGAGGCACTAACTTTTGATACCCGAAATGCTATGACAAAATTAAAAAAATGGCTTTTGGTGTGCTACGATCTTTAGGTTAACATGTTCGTGCGAACAAGTTTTGTTTTCTATGAACTTAAAAAAGGACAAGCCAATTAACTAATCAAAATTTAGAGTCAGGTCTTAAACTAAAAACCATAGTTATGTGCCAGACTTACTAAAACATTCTAGATAAATGCAAAAATACCGTCCGCATTGATTTTTTAATATAATTTAAGTTTTAGAATAATAGCATATTTTGTAACATAGTAATAATATAAATAATAATGAATAAGTCGTATTTTATTTAATTACCACTTGTTTATGTGATGTTAATTTGAAATAAAATTTAAAAGAGGAATTAAAAATCCGTGGCTGTTTTTGGGATTCATGAAACAGTATCTGCCGATCCTTGAACGGAGGTTATACCTCCCAATTTCACTTTACATTGCGCTGGGCCCTTTCATAATCGTTTTAACACATTATCATTATTTTGTTATTGTGGGTTGTAGTGAATGTGACAGTCACTGATATTCGTAACATCCACGTATATTAAAAAATAGAACCACTGTACGAAGGAATCATACAGGTTGAAAATAGTTAGCTAACATTGAATTTCCCGGCATTTCGTTCTCGATGACATCGGACATCTTCAACATGATTGTTTGAAATAGAAATACAGTCAAATTGGCGGATGAACTTCATTATTGATACGCTCGCGAAAGTTTATGAAATTATGGATTGATAACGCTTATTTATGGAATTTATTTTATATTAGTTAGTTTAATCCAATTCGGATTTTAATCAGCTAATATATGTATTCTTTTAATTTCCAGTCTTTTGGAGTAAAAACTTTTGGAAATTTTTATTGGGTTGTACCTATATTTGTAGCGTTGTCTACATTTGGCGGAGTCAATGGTGTTCTCTTCACCTCAGGAAGACTCTTTTTAGTTGGATCTCAGGAGGGACATTTACCCGAACTTTTCTCTTTTATTCATGTCAAGAGGATGACTCCCGTTCCTTCACTCATCTTTACAGTAAATATAGAATAAATATAGAAGAACTAAGTCACCTAAGTGTTAATTCTAACTCTATTTTTAGTGTGTCACATCCTTATGTATGCTTTTCGTTAGTGACATATTTATCCTAATTAACTACTACAGCCAAATTCTGTGGCTTTCGATAGCGGCAAGCATTGCTGGGATGTTGTGGCTGAGACACACACAACCAAAGATGGTCAGACCTATCAGGGTTAATACTATAATACCAGTATTATTCATAGCATGTTGTTTGTTCCTTGTCATATTCCCCATACCATCATACCCTATGAACACTGTCGTAAGCTTAGCTATTACACTTTCAGGTAAGTCAGAGTTTTGTGACTTATTACCATATTAGAATTTACTAATCCTTTTTGTGCATTATGTAGACACTAATGTTTTTTTGTTTAATGCTATGTTAACGTTCAGTATTAATTTAATAACTTCATAAGTGTAGTAGTACGTATCGAAAAAGAATGGATTTTTTTAAATCATATTTAGCCCGCGCTGTTTCGGTCCCAAAAGGAAGTAGAAAGTAGCCTGTTCCTACACAAATCGCCATTGCGGGTGACAATAAAATATATCATTAGATCGTATTATTCTGGAAATAGTTTAAGGTGAAATTATATCATTTCCAACAGAAAATCAGTTAGTGATGTTGAATCTGACCATGACCTTAATCTTGGAGGTCATTTGTAAGTCAGGTTACTTTTTTTTTGAACGCAATAAACGGAAAATTTTATGATTGGAAATACCCTTGAAATTGATTTTCTACAGATCATATTGGCAACCCAACATAGTAACATAGATGACCAGATTTTCTAGATGTCATATTCTGGATTTTTCTAGAACGAGTCTAGCGCCTATAAATAGTTGCCATGAGATCGGAAGAGTTACTTCGACCAGGCGATACGAAGTGAAATAAGAAGAGCGAAGGAGCGATAAAGTGTGTGATACATTAGTGAATTTGAAATTAATAAATAATAGTGGTGTTAGTTAGAAAGTAAATAATTAAATAAATTTATTAATAGTGAGGAAAGTGTTTGATTACGAATGTTTGATGTCAGAAGTGGATTGAATAAGTAGGAAGATTTTTGAATAATTCTTTTGCATATTCTAGTACATTCCATCGACCAAAATTCTGAAAGTTTCTACCAATCGCGAATAACCAATAAACCATATATTGTTAGTTCTCGAAAAGAGAAAAATGACTGACGTCATCAAAATTTTCAACGAGTTTTCTAGAAGCTTACATCAACTCCGGTAACAAGTTATATATCATTGGAAAGTTCTCAAAGGAACAAATTCGACATCATGGATCGTGAATAATCGTAACAAGCCGTACATCATTGGAAAGTTAGTAAAGAAGAAAAATTTTGCCAAAATAAAAGAAGTTCATCGAATTTTCTAGAAGAAATCGAGATATCTCATGCTTGTTACAGCCGGAAGTACTGAGGCAAAAATGGAGGAACAAATAAAGGCAGGACAAGAGGAAATGAAACAAAAAGCTAAAGAGGGACAAGAAGAAACGAATGAAGAACTAAAAGCAGCTCAAGAAGAAATGAAACAGAAAATAGAAGCAGTCCAGGAAGCAATAAATAAAAATGAAATGGAAAGAAAGATAGAAGAAAGGGAAATCAATGCGGAAAAGAAGATAGAAGAAAGGGAAATCAAAATGAAAAGAAAACAGATGAAAGGGAAACCATAATGGAAAGGAAGATTCAAGAAATGAAAGAACAAATAGAAAGGGTAAAATTAAATCCGTTTATCTGAAACAATTTGGTATAGCGGTATAACCTCACTAAGTCCCCGCTGGAGAAGTCATCATTTCTAGACTGGACTGCACTAATTTATTATTCACAGAACTTAAAAGGCTCTATAGATTTGTAAATCTGCACAATATTAGAATGGTTATCGACACAGGGGCAGTCTGCACTATGGTTCAACCTGATGTAGTACCGGAATGGCGAATTCGGCCTGTAGAAAGAAGATGGACCTTCACCACAATTACCGAAGAGACTTCACCAATCCATTGGAATTGAATACAGTTAGGTATTGGTGATCGACATAGTGGATGATGTTATTAATGGATTGGATCTTCTGCAACAACATGGAATCGACTTACAGATTAACACGTCTACAATGCGAATCATTAGACAGGAAATAGTAATGTCAGACCCCCACGACGAAACTTTCTACCTATAAGGTGATTATAGAAAAAGATTTTGTACTACCGAGCCACTCCGAGAGCACTGAAAGAGATAGAATAGATGACGATGTCGGCGGATTGGTGGGGATGGTCGAACATATTCTAGCCAATTTGAAAGATGTCGGTCAAAGGATCTGCGAAGGCACAGAGTTGGGGTATTTGAACCAGTAGCTGAAATTTACCATTGTTACTGGGAAGAAGAACCTGAGACGAAACCGACATCACATCCTGCAACAGAATTGGTGAAACGGTCAAGTAACCACTTCAACAAGTACCAAGTAAAGCAATTAGAAGAACTTCTTAGCCGTTTTCAAATACGTCTTCGCCCTCTTAGATCAAGATTTTGGTAGGACTAACTAAACACACCACCGCATCAGCACTGGAACAGCAAGGCCTATCAAACAACCACCTGGAAGAGTTCCTTGGGCGAAGCAAGAGGAATTCAATAACCTTATAAAGGACATGCATAAAAAAGGAATGACAGAATCAACTTCTTGGGCCTTCCCTATTGTATTGTGATGGTACGTAAACAATATGGTTCTACGAAATCTTATGTAGACCACAGGAAGCTGAACGATATAACGCGGAAGGACAGTTAACCATTACCCTAAGTCAACAACCCACCAGGCAGTCTAGCTGGAGCTAAATGGTTCTCTGTTCTCGATTTGGAAAGTGGATATTGACAAGTGGATATGCGTCCTCAGGATAAGAAGAAGACTGGTTTTACAACTGGAAATGGTCTATGGCAATTCAATATAATGCCCTTTTGACTGTGAAAAGCATCGGCTACATTCGAAAGCGGCTCATAAACATTGCATTATAGAGGGACTAAATTGGAAAATCTGTTTAATTTACTTAGACGAGACCTAATCCAGGCATCGAAAAGTTATTGGCCCGAGTTGACTTCGCTTAGCTTGGATCATAGCGTTTTGAAAAGAATCAGAAGGGTTTAGATGGAACTAGAAACAAACTTCCTATGGTACTTCTGAAGAACAGAGTTTGAGAAGTCTTAAAAATAATCCATGGCGAAAGACATTACGGCGTTTTGAAAACTCTGAGGCTACAAATTAAAAGAGATTTGGAAGACGCAGGAAATGCATAACATGCACCTCTAGTAAAGGATTGTACAGCGTAGGAGCGCTCTTGGAGAGAATCGCAATCCCAACCCAAGTCAAACCCAACATATTATCGCGTGTAGGCAACTCAGTATACACAATAACAAAGAAGACCAGATTTTCTAGATGTCATATTCTGGATTTTGCTAGAACGAGTTCAGCGCCTATAAATAGTTGCCGCGAAGTCGGAAAAGTTAGTTGAGTTTTAGTAACGTGGCTATACAAATAAGAAGAGTGAATTTGAAATTAATTAATAATGGTAGTAATTAGAGAGTAAAAAATTAAATTTATTAATTGTGAGGACGATATTTTATTTACTTTACTGTCATTGCGTTTGGTGATAGATTTTCTCAATAAATAATTTTAATCAAGGACATGTAGATATAATATCCATCCCAATGAATAAATTTTTACTTTTATTGACATTTGGAAAAGAATTTAACTTAATAGACCATCAATTTTATTTATACTTTTATTAATAACGTAATAACAAAGCTTTCTTTCTATCTTTTAGGCATTCCAGTATACTACCTTTGTGTTAAACAAGCAAAACCGAAGTTTTACCACCGCTTTATGAAAAAACTAACGGTATCTATACAATGCGCACTAGAAATTATACTTCCTGACGAAATAGGACATAAATTGTCCGACGCTTGAATATGCCCAATTTATTATTGTGTAAGCATTGTAATTACTGTGCTTTTATAATTTGTACATTTTGTTTATTTTATTAAAAATAATTTGTCAAAAGTTAATCGAGTTTTATTAATGTATGTATGTACTTAAACTTAATAGAAGAACCATGTAATTGAAGGTAATTATCTTGGTCTAATTAAGCATTTTATGAAAATACTTCAACATTTATTAGGCTATAATGATTTAATGCATTCTAATATTTCCACAAGCAATTCCTCAGAATTCACAATAAACGAATTGAAAGTGAAAATGTAGAGTGTGTTCCGAAATATAACCGAGCATACTGGTCAGTGCTGATGACGTTATGAATCGACGCCATATTGTACTGGTGAAACAAGTGTGTCGTAACAGTATATCAAACGGGCATGTGTGCTTCAGAGTTTGGACAATTTTTTATTGTAATAAACGTTAATAACTTTTGGAACAAAATTGTTGTAAACGAGCACAAACACTATTCTCAATATGGCGCCAATTAGACGTCAACGCACTGGCCAGTATATTTCGGAACGAATCAACAGTATGGCGTCGATTCACGACCTCATCAGCACTGGCCAGTATACCGGGTTATATTTCGGAACACACCCGTAATGTGGCAGATTAATCAGTGTATTATTTTGAACGATTTTAAGTGCCAAGAAGGTGGATAGAAGAAATTTAAAACGTTCTTTTATGCTTTTCTGTAGTCTTTTTTATAGTTAAAGAAATACAAATATTTACAGAAATAAGAAAATGAGTAATACATTAGTGAGTCTTTTTGTATACTAAATATACTTAAACTTATCAATAAAACGTGAAATGAAAGTACCAACGTCTCTTTTATAGGGGGCACTGTTACTCTCAACTCTCTCAACCTAACCTACCCTACCTAAGTAAAAGTACTTTTATACCCCTTCCAATTTGAGGTCTTCTTATGGCTTTAGAAGTAAACAATGACGTCTAATTACCAAAGCTAATCATCAGTTAGGAATAATAAGTCATTAAAAAGTATAAAACGTCATTCTCGAAAATTGAACTATGACAGTGGCAGTGTGACATTAGTTATAAACCATTATTATCTCTATGTTCTGGCAAACACACATAGATATTAATAAATATAACCTCACATATTAGACAACAGTAGCCTATGATAATTGTTTTGTTTAAAATTTTAAGTTGTGCCTAATGTGCTGAAATATGTAAATAATTATGTGTGTCTGATAATGTTAAAATATTTAATAATATTTCTTTTTATTTGAATCGATTAATGTAAAAAATGAGTGTGAGTGAAGCACTTGACATTGGTAAGTAATGTCATGCACTATTCATGCAGATTGTTTCTACATATTCGTGTTCTTTGTAATTTTTCAGCTACTGCTCTTCCAAGCAAAAATCAGCCCTTGCTGTTTGAAATAGTGTCGGCCTTCATATCAGAAAAAGATAGTGAAAGTAAGAAGCATGTCGTTTACACTTTACAAGTAAGACATATTTCTGGTAGAGATGACTTCAGTCCTGCTACTATAGACCGTAGATACACAGATTTTTTAAATTTATATTTAGCTCTTAAACAAGAATATCCTAATTTAATGCAAACTGTGCACTTTCCAAAAAAGGTTTTAATAGGTAATTTTGATAATAAATTAATTACTAATCGAAGTACTGGTTTTGAGACTTTACTAAAACACATATCAACTAATGCCAGCTTGAGATCATCTCCAGCACTATTAAGTTTTCTGCAGGATCAAGAATTACTTGAAGCAAAGCAATTAATTGATGAGAAACAATTTTCTACAGCACTGCCTATTTTAGAGAACAGTTTTCAGCTACTGAATAAAGTAAGTATCCTTTACATGTATGCCTAGTGTTCGCTCATAAATACTGTATTTTTAGATTTATACAGATAGATCTCCAGCAGTTATATTAGCATTATGTCGAGTGTTAGGTTGCAGTGTGGCCATACCAGGATCTCCAAATGCCAAAAAGTGGGCTGACCTTGCCCTCCATCGTTATGAAGGCGTGAGTGATAGTGATTTACTGGAATTATATTTACCCTTGCTACATGTGTGCATTAAGGTGTGGTGGCAAATGGGCTTGAATAAGGATCGTTTTGAAACTCGCCTGTTAGATTTACGTCGACAAGGTTTAAAAGCAAATGAGAGTCTTAATCTCTTGGATGCCATTAAAGAGGTAGAAGAAAAACTGCAAAAGCTTTCTGTGCCATCCTAGAATTTATAATAGAAGGATGCATCACTATCAGGAATATGAAATATTGAATAAGTTTGAAGGTCTATTACACATTTTGAATAAGTTTAAGTGAATTTGAAAATGAGACATTGGCTGTGTGGGTTTTTAATAATGATGCATTTTTTATATAAATTTTGATTATCATTATTAGATATAAGTTTAATAAACATGATTTATTAAAACCAGTAATGCTTAAGATAGTTTGAAAATTAAAAAATATCTGCCGGTTGTGACATAATTGATAAAAGTTGCTGTTTGCTCACAATTCAATTGTAAAAAATAGATTAGCCGTTTTCAAATACGTCTTCGCCCTCTTAGATCAAGATTTTGGTAGGACTAACTAAACACACCACCGCATCAGCACTGGAACAGCAAGGCCTATCAAACAACCACCTGGAAGAGTTCCTTGGGCGAAGCAAGAGGAATTCAATAACCTTATAAAGGACATGCATAAAAAAGGAATGACAGAATCAACTTCTTGGGCCTTCCCTATTGTATTGTGATGGTACGTAAACAATATGGTTCTACGAAATCTTATGTAGACCACAGGAAGCTGAACGATATAACGCGGAAGGACAGTTAACCATTACCCTAAGTCAACAACCCACCAGGCAGTCTAGCTGGAGCTAAATGGTTCTCTGTTCTCGATTTGGAAAGTGGATATTGACAAGTGGATATGCGTCCTCAGGATAAGAAGAAGACTGGTTTTACAACTGGAAATGGTCTATGGCAATTCAATATAATGCCCTTTTGACTGTGAAAAGCATCGGCTACATTCGAAAGCGGCTCATAAACATTGCATTATAGAGGGACTAAATTGGAAAATCTGTTTAATTTACTTAGACGAGACCTAATCCAGGCATCGAAAAGTTATTGGCCCGAGTTGACTTCGCTTAGCTTGGATCATAGCGTTTTGAAAAGAATCAGAAGGGTTTAGATGGAACTAGAAACAAACTTCCTATGGTACTTCTGAAGAACAGAGTTTGAGAAGTCTTAAAAATAATCCATGGCGAAAGACATTACGGCGTTTTGAAAACTCTGAGGCTACAAATTAAAAGAGATTTGGAAGACGCAGGAAATGCATAACATGCACCTCTAGTAAAGGATTGTACAGCGTAGGAGCGCTCTTGGAGAGAATCGCAATCCCAACCCAAGTCAAACCCAACATATTATCGCGTGTAGGCAACTCAGTATACACAATAACAAAGAAGACCAGATTTTCTAGATGTCATATTCTGGAT